TCTATCTATCTCTTGAGCAAATAACACTGATTTATTTCTCAGAAATGAAAGGGTATATTTAGAATTGGCCGATTTTGTAGAGAGTCGCTGTATTCGCCAAGAGTCCGGTTACCATGATTTTATTTGTTTTTTAACATTCTCTCTTTTTTTTTAAAATCATTATGAGGCTACAAATTCCTGTGTCGAGGAAGTCTTCCATTTTGTTGTTTGTCGTTCAAAGAATGGTATATTGTGAAATAAGCATACGTTATTTTGAATAAAAATGCTGCGATTTGAACGAACAAAGACTCCAGGTTGACGTTACTTTGTTTAGTTGATGTACGACTAAAACAAATGTGTAAATAAATAAGTAAATAAATAAATTCATCAAAGGAAAAAATAGAAAGCACTAAAAAAAGATTTAATGTATATTATTGACTGGATACTTTATTTATAAATGCATTCATTGACATCTTAAAAAGAAAAGAATTATATACGAGATCTGTCTGAAAAATAACATGATTAGTGCCGCAAACAATTTATTTCAATTAAAAACGACAAACTACCTGCCCCCCCTTCAAAGTAATCCCCCCTCAAGTCTAATACACTTTTCCATCCTTGTCTGTCACGCTTCTATGGACTGCTGGAAGGATTCTTTTTCGATGTTCCTTAGTTCGACCCTCCTTCAAAACAGTAACACAAGATTAAGCGCGCGCACACACACACACATATTTATATATATATATATATATATATATATATATATATATATATATATATATATATATGAGAAAAACCTATTTTAAGGTATTTCATATTTATAGGTAATTGTGTTCAATATCCTTTGAGCGTGTATAAATATAAGAATGGACATCGAGGAAATTGCTGAATGGCGACAGTCTGTTTCATTTTTTCCGGATTGTCGTCACCCGGTGTTAGTGTTCTTTGTATTTTAGACGTTTCCCAAAATCGTTCACGAGGAAATAAAACTTGTCTACTTTCAATTTTGCCTTTTTTTAATTTTTGAGGAAGACATTTCATGATTAATTTCCGAAAATAATGTATAGAAACCATATATATATATATATATATATATATATATATATAAATAAAAAAAAAAATATATATATATATATATATATATATATATATATATACATACATACACGTGTGTGTGTGTGCTTGCTTGTAGATATATATATATATATATATATATATATATATATATATATATATATATATATATATATATATTGTAATGTTATAAATTATGGAGATTATAAATTCTTCAGAACAAATCATTCTATTTTCAAATACAATTGTGAAAATGCTCAATTTAGAGAACAGAAATAAATCAACTTCAAGGACAGTGTAGATGCGATCTCAGAAGCGAGTCGTAAGCCGTGGTAATATGATTCTTGTCCATGTTGGTATCAAGGCCACCATCGACGAATGCTTGGTTCTGTGGAACCACTAGTTCATCTCCGCTCAACGACGCCCCAGATGATTCATATATTGATTTTTTGCTACAATTTTTAATTGGGTCATGTATATATATATATATATATATATATATATATATATATATATATATATAGGTAATAGATAATAGATCCAGGTGGATCCTAGTAATAACAAATATTAAAACTGATCTACAGAGAGCTCGATGTTTTTATTATAACAGAGAATATATATTTTTACAGCAAAAACCAAAATTCCCTCAACTTTAGTATAGTCTACTTCAAGCTGGACTGAACCCAGCCATCTCCAGCTCTTAAATGTCACTTAAGAGCTGAAGATGACTTCGTTTAAATATAAGCCATGCAAACTGGTTTCTGAAAATACTTTTGAAGCAAGTAATAATTTACAAAAGAAACTTTAACACTGAATAAGTTTTTTTTTTTTCTGAGGGGGGGGGTGAGACAGTTGTCTGCTTTTTCAGAGCTTTTGAGCTGCATCTGTAGCAACCTCACTGATTGGTCAATAAATGCTAATGTGGAAATTTTAATTTGACATTCATATGATTACTGTTGCACAAAATTGAGATTTTTGTTCTACTACTGAAATATATTGATTTTTTCTACAAATTTTAACCGGGTTCTACGCATGCGACCATCCTCTATATCCATTTGATGAGTGAGTTTAGTACCTATCGAAGTACTAAACTCACTAGATGGTTACATTGAAAATTATACCCCACAGGAAGAAATGGCGTGGTATAATATGACACCAATGGCTAAACATAGATGACGTGAAATTGGCAGGTTCTTTCATGGGATACTTAATGATCAACATGCCGTTTTATTTTGTTCACCTGGTAAATCACAAGAAGCTGGCTATCAACGAAACGCTGTGGTTAAACATGAAGCTATGAGCACACTTTTCCTTTTCATCAGTGTAAGATTGAATGCCGTCATGTTAAAGCATTCATTATGTCTTATAGAGAAATGAGGAAGCTTAGTGCACTATATATGGAGGGTGCGATAGGTAAATTCTTGTATTTTTAATTTTGCACATGCGCATTTTTCGTTTCTGCACAGTACAGTAGGGTCAGTTGGGCACCGACTGTGAGAAAAGGAGCACCATGACGCAATTCACACCGCCAGAAGTACTGTACTGATTGGCATTCGCGCCGGGAGCTGCAATAGAAACATTTCAGAGAGGCTGGGTGTCAAACTGAGGACAGTGCAGAGTATTCGGAAAGAATTGGATGAGTCTAATGGTGATTAGGAAGGTATGGCATCTTGGAAAACTCACAGAATTCTATATAATATAATCTATATAAGATACGCGTATTCATATAATATAGGATTCTATATAAGATAGAATTGAGTATCTTGTATCTCATACCGACTGAAGATTGTGAGACACCAATATAAAAAAACCCCAAAAAAAACTGGGTGTCCACATGAAATTCGCGGAAGGATAACAATATCTGATTATCATTTTTATATTTCTAATATATATATATATATATATATATATATATATATATATATATATGTAACATTTTCAAGTTTTCCTTTTTATGCACATTTAACACTGGTGTAAGTTTTCTTCGGTATTCTCTCTGTGTGCGCGCGCTTGTCTGCGTGCCGTCATGCGCTCGTTCTGCGATGTGCACGGATGTGCGTCGTATTTATTTTGCCCTGTTCTTCGAATATTTTTCTACGCATGTTTATTTAGCCTTTCTCTTCTTTTTTTCATCTGTTGGTAACATGTAACCTATTTTTATTTATATTTTTTTAATTAGGGGGATTTTATTTATTCTGCTAGGGAAGTTGTATTTCGTTTATTGGCATTTTTTATATAAATACTTGATATTAATACTTAGGTAATATATATATATATATATATATATATATATATATATATATATATATATATATATGCAATTTTTTTTTGTAACTAAAGTTACAGTTATTTCTATTAAATAAGAATTGTTTCTGTTTTCTATGCGTATTTAGTTATTACGGATCTGTGTACAGTTAATTATATGAAAAGTATATATTTATTCATTAGTTGGAAACACAATAAATTAAAATTTCTATGCGTACGAATATTTGTTCTCCCCACTATATATATATATATATATATATATATATATATATATATATATATATATATATAGAGAGAGAGAGAGAGAGAGATATAGATATAGATATAGATATAGATATATGTCTGTGGAGCCAGAACGATATAAAGAAAGTCAAATAAATATAAAAAGGTAAGCATGTTAATAACGAAGATAGATGTATATTCATGTTCAGTGAATAAATTTCAAAGCCGATCAAAGTGACCTAAGCCATCGTTTTGACTTATTTAATTTATTTTAAACTCAATAAAGTATTCAAACACGAGAGATGCTATATGGAGACCGAAGCAGATAAACAATAATGGCGTCGTAATTGTTTCGTTGTAATAAAGATTTTAAAGTATTGCTCTTTCTATTAATACCAATGATTTTCTTAATTGCAATCGATAATAAATGTCAATGATTAAGCAATTAAGACATCTGCGAATTCTTTTTTCAAAACAAATCAATGGTTGGTTTTAATTGGCCATAAAGAGACTGACCTGCATAGATAAGTAGCACGACATTTAAAATATCCATTTAGCCTCGTGACTTTTTTTGCTGTCGTTAAACGCCAAGAAACATGTTTATAAAAAAAACCGAGTTTCCAAAGGTTTGTATTTCTCTTAAGGTGGTTGACTTACCAGTTATAAAGTGCTCAGTCTATCCTGCTACTGAATTTATAACTGCAGCGAAAAGATATGGATTCAGGTTTTTTCCAAGAATCAGAAAATAAACGGCCTCGGTTGTGATTTGAACCCGATTCACTGAGTCCATTTCAACACCGATAAATATCACGTCCGTATTTTATTAACAGATGCAAATACAATAAAAATCCGATAAGAGATAAACTAGACAGAAATAAACAATATGAATGCTTCAACTAAAAAATCCAAACAGCTTTAAACTATTATATATATTACTATTAATAGGTACCTAAAAGGCAACAAAAATACGATGAAAGATAAACTAGACAAATATAAATGGTGAAAATGCTTCATCTGAGAAATCTAAACAAATTAAAACTATTACATCTGTTATTATTAATAGGTGCAAAAATGCAACAAAAATACGATGAAAGATAAACTAGATAAAAAAATAACAGACACCATGCGACTATTACATCCTTAAAATTGAAAATGCTTACAACTAAGAAATTTCAGGCTCTATTACCTCTGTTACTATTATTATGTTAAAAGAAGCAATGTAAATACAGTGAAAAAGAAACTAGTAAAAGATTCATAACAATAAAACTGTTTCATCACAAAATTCCAACGAAATTTTCCTGTTTCTTAATACATTGCTTAACTTCTGGAAGGTACCTTTCGCTATTCTAATGCTCCTTCAGATTTCGATGTCATATTTTCTGTTCTCTGTTAAAACAATTCAATTTTTGTACTTGCTATGCAATTCCTAGTTCGTCTCTAGGGCTGTTCCTCTTCTTGAC